ATGTTTTCTAAAAGACCTAGAGAATATATGGTGGATGCCTCTCCTCTTCCCTCTGTGTTGGTTATTTTGGCAAATTACTGGAAGATGGTGGGTCTGGCCAAAAGGAAAAATTATTCACTCTTAACTATTAAAAATTCATCACCAAAGCATCTGATTCCAGATATTATTGATCCATCTCTTCAAGGTTTCAGATTCTAGTATTTGATTTTGTAAACACCATATAATATTGACAAGATTTTTAGAATTCAAAACACCTGAAATTTCACCATACGTACCTACATATATTACGCAGAAGCAGTCATATCATTTCTCATTTTTTTGATATCACATTATATCAGATATTTCTAAATAACATCATCCTTTAAAACAGTGAAAATAATATTACATTGGGGTAATGATACTATTTAACTTAGTCATTCCTCCACTTTTGGACTTCGTGGGTACTTATCACTTCCCCCTTGGTTATAAATATCATAACAAATATCTTTAAAATAAACAATTCATTGAATATTGATATAGTTGTACTATATTTTATCTATTTAGAAAATATTCTATTTACAAAATATGCATTTCATTCTTTCTTAAAATGTTTTAATCTTGACTTCTCTGATTAGTTTGCTTTCTCATTTTCAGACTTGTAGGACAATCCTCCTTCAAATACACCACTGTAAGGGGCCATGAAGTTAATCTTGTTGGCATATTCTTTTGATTCGTATATTTGGGTTCATCTCCCTGTCACTCTATTCTCAGGGAGTACTTTCTAACATCAACCATACAACAGGGAGGAAAATATAAAGGGTACAGATCAGGGTACTTTAAAGCATGGTCTACAGATCTCTGTAATAGAACAACCTGGAGTACCTATTAAAAGTGGAAAATCAGGGTGCCTGGGTGGCCCAGTGGGTTAAGCCTCTGCCTTCGGCTCAGGTCATGATCTCAGGGTCCTGGGATCGAGCCCCGCATCAGGCTTTCTGCTCAGCGGGGAGCCTGCTCCCTCCCCCTACCTTCCTCTCTGCCTACTTGTGATCTCTGTCAAATAAATAAATAAAATCTTTAAAAAAAAAAGGTGGAAAATCACTGATCCTTCAAATTATTCAGATACTGAGGTATAGGGCCCAAGAGCATGAAATTTAAACAAGGACTCAAGGTAACTTTTATGCATGCTCATGTTTAGAAAACCAGGCTTCCCTATACTACGATACTATACAATGAATTTGCAACCTAAAGTTTAGTCCAATTTAAGGTACATCCTAGATTTAAGATACATTTTATTCTATTTCCCTATTAAATTTGTATATATGTTTAATCTCTATCACTAATACAATTCCCCTTCCCTTCTCCCCCAACCCTCTTCCACTAAAGTACCTTGTTTTTAGAAAGTAAGAACATGTCTACTTTATCTCTGCATTTCTGCCATCATTTGAGATTCTGTTTTGCACTTAGAAACTCTTCATACACATTAGTTGTTTAATTTTTTAACCAGGTCCATGCTCTGCTTATAGCTTAGTCTTGGATATTACACAAAATTATTTACAAGATTTAAAGTAATTTCCCTCTTTTTTTTCCTTAAAGACACAATACCTGCCTGTGTCTTTAGGACTTTGTTAATAGATTTCTATAGTATTTGGTGGAAATTCACCTATATAATCACATAATATGTTTTGACTAAAATTCTACTGTGTCAGGTAATAATGACTCTCTTCTGGACCAAATCTATGCCAGGCTCCTCCGAATCTTCTTCTCAACTAAGCTCTGACCTTGGATTCTTTCTTTGGCCTGCTTAGTCCAGTTTTAGCAAGAATTCTGCTGAGTTAGTTTAGGGAAAATCCTCTTTCCTAGGTATATGGTTGTCCTTGATATTAGATCAAATTCTTCATTCTCCACTCTCCATATCTTATCCCCCTCGCCTGCCTTCAGTAAGAATCCTGTTGAATTAGTCTAGAGAGAATTCCCCTAGCTCCGGTAATTTTCCATCCACTGATCCCCCACCCTGATCCTTGGTTCTAAATCTACTTGTCCTTGTTGTATTAGGAGTTGAGCTCTCTCTCTCTCCTGTTCTGCAAAAAAAAAAAAAAAAAAAGTCCCTCTTGAATAAAGTCTTCCTTACTTTACAAGTATCGTGAGATTTTTTTCTTTAACATAGGCATTGTGGTATGTTTTAAAGATAGAACTATGAGAGTAGTCCTTATTCTTGAGAAAGTAGCCCTCTAGAATGGAAGTTTATCTCATCAGACATATTTATAAAGCAATATAATCAAATCTAAAGCAGAAACATGCACCAAGCCTACCAAAAAACTGTAACTTGGAATGATAATGAAGAATTCCTTTCTATCTACTCCTATTCCTATCTACATCGGTGAATTTAACTGAATACAAAGACTAGGAATACCTAATTTGAAATGGCTTACTCATGCGAGAAAGTTAGACTTATATGACATCAGGCGCGGCTTGTTATGATGTCAGGATCTATAGAATACTCATATTTCAGTTTTAGAAACAAAAATATCTTTGATTTATTCTGCCTAATTCCATTTCAATGGTGTTATTACTAGAAAAGCCTTTGCCTATTATCTTTGTATAATAGAGAATAGTAGACATACACAGATACACAGACACACATAAATACACACTTAGGCATACATGCACTCTTATCTCATAAAAATGCATTATCACAGTGTATGTTATCATAGGAAAACCCATATTCCTAATTATTTTCATTACCAAGTAAATATTAAAGGAATTTCTAGTGGCTAAGTGTCCAGAGTATTCTGGGCAGTCACAGTCTCTTTTGCAATTGTATTAAAAACCTAAGACAATGAGAAAACACTACCCACCTATTAGAATAACTAAGATTCAAAACATTGACAAAACCAAATTCTGGTAAGGTTATAAAGTAACAGGATCTCTCATTAATTGGGAATACTAAATGATACAACCATTTTGAAAGGCAGTGTGGAGGTTTCTTACAAAACTAAAGGTACTCATACCGATATGATCCAGTAATCACACTCCTTGACATATACCCAAATGAGCTGAAACTTAAGTCCATGCAAAGGTCTGTAGAAAAATGTTCAGAGCAGTTCTTTTTTTCATTATTCTCAAACTTGGAAGAAACCAGGATGTACTTCAATAACAACCTGATAAACAAACTACGGTACACATATACGATGGAGTATTATTCAGCAATAAAAAGAAATGAGCTACCTAGCCACAAAAAAGACATTTGGAAGAAAGTCAAAAGCTAAGTGAAATATTGCTAAGTGGAAGAAGCCAGTATGAACTGGCTATCTTCTGTTTTATTGTAATTATGAGACATCCTTAAAAAGGCAAAATTCTGGAAGTAGCAAAAGAATCCGAAGTTGCCAGGGTTTCAGTGAGGGGAGGGAAGGGCAAATAGGGAAAGCACACAAAATTTTGGGGGTGGTCAAAATATTCTGTATTTTCCATAAAATGCACTATACAGTATTATACGTTATACTATATGATACAGCAATAAGGGGAATATGTCATTATACATTTTTCAAAACCCTAAGAATGTGCAATATAAAGAATAAATTCATAAGTAATGGACTTTAATTAATAATAAGGCACCTGCCAATACTGGTTCATTAATTATAACAACTGTACTATACATTTAATACATTTAATATAAGATATTAGTAATAGGGGGAATTATGTGTGTTTTGAGGGAGGATATACAGGGATTCTCTATAGTTTTCACTTAGGTTTTTTGTAGACCTAAAACTGCTCTTAAAAAATTGTTAACTAAACCTAAGAACCAAGGTCATAATACCAAGCCAAACCAAAACAAGACAAAAACCTGGGTAAGATGAGACAACTTCTAGAATTGTGACCAAAGGGTATTTTATGCCAGTCGTTGATGGCATAGAAATAAGCATCCCATCCCTCTTGTTACCATTACTCTTAAGTTCATAATTATGTTGGTACCTGTGATGATATTGGAATAAGGCACAGAAGAAATAACCAGAGAGTATCTAGGTCCTATTAGCCTGAAACCTATAATTCTGCAATATTCAGTATGAGTTTGAATCAGGGCCCAAAATCTGTTGAACATGTAATTGTTTTTTTAAATGATAATTAAGACAACTAACGGGACTTACCCAACCTAGACCAAATATTGAACTGAGACCTAAGCTACGCACACGTCAGACTATGGGGAGCCCTCGTGACTATTAGGGCAGATTTTGTCTTATGCCAACTTCCTCAGAGCCCTAGGACAACAAGGACCCTTGCCAGAATTGAAATGGGTTCTCTAGGAGAGAGCTTCTTTATCATTGTACTCATAGAAAGGATGGAGAAGATATTTTAGGTTCAATTTTCTAGATACAAAATCACAGATATTGGTCAATCTTTAGTCAAATTCACTTCATGTGAACATTTGGGACCTAAAGTTGTTGTTTTTTTTTTTTTCCTTTAAGAAAATCTCTTCTAAACCCAGACTCCAATCATTGAGATGCAGACAAAGCTTCGGACAACTTAGCATTTTCAGAAAGGAAAGCTTCTATTGCTCCCCCAGCAGAGCTCCCCTGATAACGGTTTAGAGATGTACTAGGATTCAAGCCCTTCAGCCCTGGAGCTGCTCTGCATCTGATTACCAGTGCCAGCGGTCTCTGGTAGTAAGCAGCCTCTGTAGTGTATCACAGGAAGATTGTCCTTTTCTATGTGGGTATGATAAGAAAAAGGCCGAGAAGCACCCAACGAGAGAATCTTTGCTAAAGATGGTTTAATCCAAAAGGGTCTGATTGGTGCTTTGCAATTTCCATTGTTTCTACATATCATCCTATTTCAAACATAAAGATAATATTTGAAGAGGAATTATTTCTGAACATATTTCACGTGAAACATACAAGGCATGAGCTGCTACAAAGCTATAAACAATCCAGAGCATTGGTGGTATTCAGATAATACCACCTAATTTTACCTCACAGTTCTGTTAATTTTTAAAGACCATAAAACCACAAGTAGGAATTGTCCCTTACCCTATAAGGAAAACCTCTGCACCTTGTCTCAGGATAAAGCGTCAGGGTCTTCACACAGTCCCTCCACTCCGGGACTGAGCAGTTCTTGAAGTGTCTTTACCGGGTCTGAGGGGAAAGAAAAATACATAAATAACCTTGGTATGCTTCAGCTAACATTAACATTCTTTTCCAAGTTGTTCAGATTCCTTTTCATTAAATTGCCACATATCTTGCATCAAACCATCTTGTACAAAAAAATCAGCATTTACAGAACACTTAACTTGAAGAAAGAATTTTCTTCCTTTAAATCATTTATAATCTCCCCCTCATCCACGTCTGAATGAATGGTGTCTTTCCTTGTTATAACATCATATTAACTATTTTTCGTGATTCTTTACTTCCTTTCCCTAGATCACAATTTTATTCTTTGGTTTCATTAGTAATAGCAAATCTTTTATGCGAAAGAAGTTAAAAATTGTTAGGCTTAGCCAGTCCTGTCTGTGGCTTTGCTAAAACTGTTTTATTGCTCTGCTCTGCTGTGAAATAAACTAACACATTTTGGTTCCTAATCTCCTATGCCTAATTTTTTTTTCTGACCTAAAAATCTCTACCAGAGCCCTAAGTACCCCATCAAGTCTATAAAAATACTGACATGAGCCAGTGAAAAAGTGTGCTCTGCCAGCATGTTCTATAAGATAGTCTTCCATCACCACAAAGTTTCAGGCATTCTTTTTTTTTGGGAACTAGCAAAGAAAATAAGCTGGCTCTGGCAGTTGATCATGGACTGCTCTAATTCGATGAATCCATTTTCTACAGGCTTTAGTTGGCAAGCCTTTTTCCACTGCCTGCAAACTGACTACAGTTCTTTGCAAACCTCCTTTGCAATTCTACCCAAACACCACCTTCTACATCACAAAGAGTTATATATTACTGAAAACACATTTTAAAGAAGATTTTTATTGGAAATATCTAATTTTGGAGCTCTTTCTTAACTTCCCCAATTTGTTACACATACGTCTGTTTACCCATGGAACTGTCCTGAGGGTAAGTGAAACCAATGGTGTAGTGCTGTGTAAAGCTCAGAGACGCTAGGAAGACAAGGCTGTGTTCCCAGATCTAAAATATGCCGCTCTTGATCGGCTGGACCTGTCCATTGACTGTGTATGGAAGCACACAGTACAATGATATAAATTTGATGGTACTTCTGAACTTTACTTCTAAGAATCTTATTCTGTATATCTTTGAAATTCCTTTTTTAAAAGATTTTATTTATTTAAGAGAGAAAGCAAGCACAAGCAGGGGGGGCAGCAAGCAGAGGGAGAGGGAGAAGCAGGGAGCCCCAGGAGGGCTCGATCCCAGGACCCCGAGATCATGACCTGAGCCAAAGGCAGAGGCTTAACTGACTAAGCCACTCAGGCGCCCCCATCTTTGAAATTCTTAAGAGCTCATGGTTAAAGAATGGGGAAGACAGGACAATAAATCCTTCAAGGAGAAGTATACAGCAGTTTTTTAAATAAGTATAGTCCTTTCCTATTAATCTCATTATTACAGACAAAACAACTATATACTTTATTTGGTTATGGTTATATTTATGTGAAGTTCTAAAAAAGATGGAAAAAAAAGAGGCTATGGTAATAATCAGAACAGTGTTGTGAGAGATTAACTGGAAAGTGGCATGAGGGCACTTTCTGGGAAAATGGAAAATTTCTAGATTTTTTTTTAAAGATTTTATTATTAGAGAGAAAGAGAGAGAGGAAGAGCAGAGGGAGAGGGACAAGCAGACTCTGCACTGAGTGCAGAGCCCAAAGTGGGACTTGTTCTCACAACCCTCAGATCATGACTTGAGGCGAAACTAAGAGTTGGACAGACGCTCAACTGACTGAGCCACCCAGTGCTTCAAAAATTCTGCATCTTGATTGGGACAATGATTATATAAGTAGACACACTTGAAAAAAACTCTGGAACTATGCCCACAAAAAAGTACATTTTATTGTAAGTAAATTCAATTGTGAGTAAATACCTTAATAAAAAAAATAAAAAACAAAGGACTCAAAGAGACTTTTCAGTTTTGGAATGATTTTCAGAAATCACCTAGTCTTTATGAAGGAGCCTTTACCTCCTTCCTGGCCAGTGAAAAATAATTCTTCATTTTTTCATTTATGTATCCACTTAACAAAGACTGATTAAGCACAAATGTATCAAGGATAAACACAGTCACAGCATGCTAGGAAAAAAAAAAATGATGGTTAGCAAAAGAGACACAGCCTCTGTTATGGAGCTTAAAGTCTTTTGGAGGAAAACAGACAATTAAAATGGACAAAAACAAAGAGTTATGTCTGTAGCACTGAGAGAAGACCCATGTTCTAGCTAAGGGCTTGCATCAAAACAGAATGAACTATTTTATGCTAAACCCCAAGCTAAGCTGAGCTGAAAATATTGGTGTTCACTGAGTCATTAAAAGCTGTTAGAGTGATCAGACTAAAGCAAACTAAATAACATTTTTCTATTAAACCAAGCCTAAATATTCTCCAAATCAAATGAATAAAAACATCAAAATATTTTTCATGTCAAATTTCATTTGAACATTGAAGTCTTTTTTCAAAACAGAATTTAGGTCTTCCACACCCTACGGCAGCTTATATATACAGCTGTCCATGAGGACAACATGGTGTTAAATGACCCTCTTTCCCATGAGCAAATCCCAGCTGGGAGGACAGGTGCTTCTACTTCTGGTGACTCTGCTGCCAACGAGGGATTCGCAGGCTTTCCCAACAACAACATTGTGCATATTCACAATAAATCCAAACTTGTAACAGGTAAAGTATTTGATATACAAACAAAGCATAACCACGAATGGACCAGCATTCCAATATAAAGTACTTTTAGGGAAATAACAACTCCCTCACTGCCACCCCAACACACTTTTAAATGAAGTCCCTCTATGGGCAGTCCAATTTCTAAAGCACATGAAAATTTTCCTTCATCTAACTGGTATTAAAAAAAAAAAAAATCACCTTGTTCCTTTTTATGGCTTTCTAAACTATTTGTCCAAAATTCTTTCCAAAATGGAGGAAGCATTTATAAATCAAAAAGGTGAAAGGATATAACTTAAAAACAAACAAATAAAACATGAACCATATAATTATTGAATTTCTGAGCCTTTTAAAGAGGAATATGCTGTTGTTTATTTTGTGAAACTATCTAGAAGAAAACCAACAAGATTTTGTAGATTGCTCTAAGAGGAAACATGCTAGAAATAGTGAGTAGTTCAAAAATTAGCCTTGGAATGAGAAGTGTGCTTTAAACCAAGACCATGATGGGTAATGAATGTTTTGTATTTAATCAAGCAGACATCCACAACATTGCCTATTAATGACTTCTACTGTCTTTCCTAGTCTCTGACCAATTTAGGGTTTGGGTTGCATTCTCCTGGCAGGACCAAAAATGGTCACAAAAACTCTAAAGTAATTGGAAATCTAATTCTCTCGAACATGAGAACCATTCCATGTATCAACAGAAAATATCAGATTGCAGTTCAAACTGTCAGATGTCACTTTTATTACTTTCTCACTCTGGTCAGTGATAACTTCAAAAGAAATCTATTGTTAATTAGGAATCACAGTTCCCGTTTATGTAGTTTTAACATATTTAATATTTAAGAAATGTATATATTTTGACCAAGTAATACATTTTTTAAGTCTCGTGTTTTATTTTTATTCCCCAACCAAACAGCTGATGATTAGAATAGTTAACACACTGAAACATTTTCCTAGCATTTTACTGTAATTTTTCCTTCCCTAATTTTCACTCTACCAATCTCATTTTAGCTTGGTTTCTGTCCTTTCTTTCTGCCAATGTAAATATCAGCTCCCTGTGTTGCCAGTTTCTTAGTCATTCTTTGATATTCCCTGGTATTTTAAGAAATACTGTAAGGAAGAAAGGTGGTGTAGAGTTTGTAAGATTTGAGGAAGCTTATAAATACTGGCACTTAAGACTTGCTCAATCTCAATCCATTAGATACATAATTGTGGTGTAAAATTCTAGATGATTTTTAATTTTTTTTTTTTAATATTGTCACAGCTTTCTTCCCCACTAACTCTCAAAGAGATGTCACATCATGACATTCAATCTGCAGGCTTATATCCGATGATAGACAAGACATTCCATGTGTTACCTTTTCTTAAGGTAAATTTTAAGCTGCTCCAAACTCAATGGATTTATTAAATACTAAAATCTATATAACAACACTGAAACATTTTGAAAGAGGAAATAAAATCTTAGGAATTAGTGATTATGACTGAATTATTCTAGAAGCTCAATTATAGGAATTAGCTTACCTTTCCACCCCTTAGTTGTATATTTAGCTCCTAGTATATGCCAGTCACTGTGCAAGTCTCTATATGTACTTGAATAAAACACGGTCTATCTTCTAAAGTAACTCATAGCTTAGCTATTGATGGTAAGAAGACATAAACACATAAACAGATAATTTAATGTCATTTGACAAGGGCTGCGACAAATGCATACACAGCCCTATGGAAAAAAATGTAAGTTGAACACTCAGTTTCCCAGATGAGATGGGAAGGAGTAGGATGTGTCCCATAAATAGTGACTGAGATTCTAACTTTGGGACAATATGTGTCATCTAAATTCTTAAGAAATTGTCCTAATTATTATTGCAGATCTCATCAACTATACATTTGATTTTGCTCTGTTTTTCTTCTAATAACATTTTCTTGAGTATTTAACATGTGATTAGTTCAGGCAGATTTTTCTCACTCATAAAATACACATACCTATAGGCTTATTGTGATATTCAATGAAATAATATGTATAAAATACTTAATGCAGTACCTGGCATACAGTAATTGCCCTCCCGTAAAAGAAAGAAAGAAAGAAAGAAGAAGAGAGGAAGAAAGAGGAAAAGAAAACTCAATCATTTTTTTTTTTTTTAAGATTTTATTTATTTATTTGACAGACAGAGTTCACAAGTAGGCAGAGAGGCAGGCAGAGAGAGAGGAGGAAGCAGGCTCCCCGCCAAACAGAGAGCTGAATGTGGGGCTTGATCCCAGGACCCTGGGATCATGACCTGAGCTGAAGGCAGAGGCCTAACCCACTGAGCCATC